AAGGAGTGCCCATACTAGAAGAGAGAAGCATCCAGGACCTTCACAACAGCCTGACTCTTCAATACCATCCTGTGCCCCAATTTCTAGCCCAAAACATAGCCATTCAAAGTAAATTAATTATCGGTATTACAATCGCGAATTACAATTACTGGAAAGGCCGTCGCAGTAATGGCCGTCAAAGTAGGTTACAGTAGAATTAATGTACCGGTTTATTGGGGAGAAAAACCTATTCCACAACGAATAAGCGATAGAGCAAAGTGGGAACTTTTTCTGTGAAAAGGTCGTTGTTGAAGCCCTAGGGACATAGTCTCTGGGAGAAATAACTTTTTTTCTAGAAAACAACCGAACGAAAAGCAAAAAATTCGATCTCCACTAGCTTATGGCCGCCGAGGGAGGACGGCAGGGAGGGGAGGGGCGAGGGCAAGAAGTTGTTTTTGCCCCTGTTTTTAATGCGAAAAATCGTTCTTTGGGGGGAAACACTTAGGCTTAGGAGTCTTTAAGATGGGAGGGCCCTATAGGAGTAATAGCTAAGGTAAATAAGGGGATAGAGCCAGTATAACTAGTATAGCTAAAGAGTAGAGAGGACTAGAGAGAGAATGTCGGATCGATAGAGTGGAGTAGACGGGCATGTTTATGTAGGGGGCGATGGCGACGTATTCGCAATGTTGTGCAAGAGCGATCGAAGATCTGCACGGAATGACGCATGAAATGGCAATTTTACTCAATCCTCCCTCTCCCACACACTCTTTACCCTCTCTTACTCTCTTGGGATTACCCGGCGTACCTAATGGCTGTACTGGTTAATTAACTCGAAACGCTCAGAGCTATATAATCAGCATTTGCCTTTCAAACAATCTAAACTANTATCGTGATGAAGTTTGAGGAATGTCTATTTGACAGAACGGAATAACCTTTGAACGAGGCACTTTGATTTGTTCTGTTATCAGCTGTTCTCCGCAGCAATTCGTTCTCTCATCAGCTGTTTTCCGCCGCAGCAGTTGGCGATCCATATGTTTGCGAA